ATTTACTATAACATGCAACCATTGGTTACCTAAGCAGAACAAATCACGATAATGTCAAAATGATATTAAAATGAATTGGAAATTATTGAAAAATGACTTTTAATAATCATTTTGGAGTCATTTTAACATTTTGATATCATTTTGATATCATAACGACTTGTTGTTCTGTTTGGGTAGCGTTCATGGATTTTCTGTAGGTAATTCGAGCATCAGATATATCTAATATAAAATTTGAAACACAGAAAATGACACCTGACATTTGACAATCACGTGAATAATTGACAATGAGATTTTTAGATATCAATGTACATACTTAATACAAAAATAATATGATTATCATAAAATACGAGCGTAATATAATGATGATTATTTTTTTCATATATTGTGTAGATTGATCTGAAAATCTCATTGTCAATTATTCACGCGATACACTTTTGATCGAACAAGTTTTACAAAATATGTATTTGAATGGATCATTAATATATGTATGAATATCGAATGTATAGTTACGTGGTAATTACATATCGAAAAAGAGTTAAATGCAGGTTTAATATAAGTTTCATTATCATATTTGATTGCATTGTTAGTTGTTTGAGAGCCGATCCGTTTTACCTTGTTATCCCTTATCCGCTATATTCCGTGAATAAAACGTGAATGCGATCAAAAAGAGGGGAAGGGGCATCGTTTCCGCGCGCGGTCAACTTCACGCGTAATAAAAAATGACGCGAGACGCGACGGCATAACTGCGCTTTCGCATCTTAATTTTTTGACCAAACGAGTACTTATTGTCGAAAAATATTCTCGGCTGAATAATCAGTTTACTAATACTGCTAGAATCTACATTGCGCAATATTAATAATAACATTAAATAACACGTTAGACATTTTAAAATTGTTTGAGAATTTAAAACCTCTTGGTTCTCAAAATATTTCTCACGTCGCACGTAAAAATATTAATAATTTAATAATTAATTACCTCATTGGTAAATAATTCCAACGATGCTTTCAAAATTCAAGCCGGTTTTTGTAGTTTTATTTGTTGATAGATTTGAGATTCTCTGTAGACATTAGGATACTTTTAGAGGAAAGGTCATAAAAAATCGATTCGAGGACAGAGGAGTGCGAAGCTGCGAACTTTTCCAACGTAATATAACAAGATGCACTCCTGTCGCCTGCTCGAGTCGCAAAATCGCGAAGGTGCGAATTAGACGTTATTTATAGGAGCCGTCACTCTGCGAACCCCACCATTCGCGTATCAGCCAATAAACGCGGTGCGTTGTATTCAAACGCTCATTGGATAACGCTAGCTTTCGAATAAGATATATAAATGCTGCGCGCTTAAAAAATTTTAGTTTTTCTTGGGAGCTGATATCGGGCTTTTCTCGAGAACTTATCCAAGAAGTTAAAATGAGTTGAGAATGAATCTAAATAATTAGATGATCGATTGATTGTTAAAAAGTGTATGAAAAAAGAAAGTATGTATGTAGTTTCTGTCTTTGATCTGAACTACTTTCAAGAAAATTTATTTCAGCATATAGCGTTTACATTCATATATATGTATATATCCCATCCAAGAACTAGCAGCTGTTAGGTACGAGAGTAATATAAACATCAAATATAGAGATGATCATGAATAATTAATGCTGGTATAATATCGTTTAAGTTCAATTTCCATACGTTACGTACATGCAAGAAAAGAGGCTAAATATGTCGTCGTTTATAAGCATAACAATTATCAGAATACATTATTAATACTTAAACAGAACTCGGTAAAGTTATACATTGTCGTTATATTAATATTTTGATTTGAAGAATTTTGTTACAACTTTAAGTGATATATTTTCTTTATTTACAAGATAATTATTTAAATAATTTTGTATTTAAATAATTTTTAATTTACATTAAGCTTTTCTATCTTTTCCTTTTTCAAAAATTAGAAAGAAAAAGGATCCTTATTTGTAAAGCCTGTAGAGATCACCAAATCATGGACACATCTAACTTTCTCTATCTCTATTTCAAACTTATTTCTATTACGTCGTTCGATATCTCGGCTGCGTTTCGTTATCTCTCTGATAATTGAAATCTAGTTTTGAAGTTATATCAGAAATTATATTAGCTGCATTCTTAGTATTGAAAATCTATAATACACATAACATGACCTATAAGATTTTCAGTATTCGCAGTGAATAAGGGAACGTATTCGTACTTTCGTAGTCGTTGTTGATAAATCTAACATGTGATGGTCTCCGCTGAAGGTGTGGTGTGCTCTGTCGGGTGCTCGGAGTACTAGGCGGCGTCGACCTCGAGAAAAAGGGCGACATCTTTCATTGGTGTCTGCCCGACGGAATTTTTTGACAGTAGTCCGTTGCTGGTTTTCGAGATAAATTCCGGAGTAATCTTGGACGCGAGCGTCACGAGCACACCGGCCGCGTGGAATAGATGGCGTGTGCGAGTACCGCGGTTACAGGAACGGCGGGTGGAACAATTCGCTCCGAGGACTCTATCACGTACGAATATGACAGATCAGAACAGGGAGCCGGAGTCGACCACGGGCATCGCTGCGGAGCAAGCAGGCGCGCGACGGAAATCCAGGCGTGGAAACACGGGTGGAAAACTCGCGACGCTTCTCCGGCGGTGCGAGAGTAATCGGCATCAGGAGTACAAGAGGGAAGACCTGACGAGCGACACTAGATCAACGGAACGTAGATTCAGAGGCTCGTCCAACAGCAAACTATCGTTCTTTGATTTTGTATGTAATGTCAAGAAGCACTTGCTACTGAAGAATTTATGCAAGTCAAAGAAAAAGGTAGATTTTTTCCTTCTTCTTTTCTTTTTCTTACTTTTCTTCTTCTTCATAATTCTCCTTCTTCCTTTGTTTGGAACAAGATTGCTTTACTCCTCTTCTGTGATGATTGTGTTTTATGATTGTGTTTTAAGATAATTCTTTCTTGTCATTCTTTTTCAGAACAAAGAGCTAGAGACATCGATCTCTTGCTCTAGTACAAAACAGAATAATGTTATATCTGTCATTAAGTCTTTTAAGTCTTGTGAAAAACGAGAACATCATTCAAATGACGAACCGGCCTCATCAGACCGGCTTTTGTATGAAACCAGATTAGGTGACATACTTGAAAATTCCTGCCACATTGAAGAGAACGAAACTAATAGAATGCAATATGGTATAACTGGCATAAATCTTCATACAGTTCCTATAAGACAGCAGAATAAATTTATAAGCAATGTTACAACTGTCAACGAAGCAACAGTAATGCAACCTACCTATTCTAATGCAACAGTGGCAGTTCTTAATGCAATAGCAGATGTTTCTGACAGTGTGAACGAAACATTAAATAATGAACATAAAGTTAAAGCGAGTCTTGCAAAGGAATTACTTAATCTAAGTAAATATGGATGGTATTGGGGTCCCATATCGGGAGATGAGGCTGATGCTAAACTCATATCTGAGCCAGATGGTGCATTTTTAGTTCGAGATTCGTCAGATGATAGGTACATTAGACTCTATTACATAATTTTACTTTGCGGAAATTTTATATATTCATACGTGCTAAATAAAATTCTATGTGATTACTTGTAGGTATGTCCTAACACTCAGCTTTAAATCATCTGGGAAGATGTTGCATGCACGAATGGAACACAGTGGCGGCTTATTTTCTCTGTGCAATCAAAGTACTGAGAACGAAGGCTTCACTTCAGTAGCTGCTTTAATAAATCACTCCATGAACTTCAGCCAGTCCGCTGTAATTTGTTATTCGAGGCCAAAATATCCAGGATATCCTTCATTTCCGGTCAGATTAACGAAACCAGTGAGCAGATTCACGCAAGTAAGGAGTCTGCAATATCTTTGTCGTTTTGTCATCCGCCAATATATTAGATTAGATAATATACACAAGTTGCCTTTGCCAAAAACTATCAAGGGATATATTCAAGAAGCGCATTATTAAAATTTAACAGATAAAGAAACAATGTTGAGATTAATAATAAAATTATTTTTTATCACAATATATATTAATAAAAGAATGGTATAGAATAGATTTCTAAGATGAAATGGCAGCAAAAGTATGTACACACACACACACGCGCGCGCGCGCGCGCGCACACACACACACACACACACACGAGAAATTTTATTTTATTCAGTATGTATTATACTTTGCAAAAATATTTTCAGGAATATTTTTCTCAAATCATTATCTAATATCAAAAATGTAAAGCAAATGAAAATTATAAATTATTTTAAAAAATGAATATTAATATTGTTTTTTATAAGGATTACACATTATTTCTATTAAATTAAATGAGAATATTTCATATTTATTAAATTACGTAATTCTAAGAGAAATTTGCAATAAAATTTTTATAAGTTAATTATTATGTGTAGGCCAAGAATTTAACTTTTTCTACTATTTTATGCTAGCAGAGTGTAAAGAGTAACAGGATATTTGTATAGCTGATTCCAGATGATTATATGATTACTTAATTATGATAATATGCAGGGTAAACGAATAATTGTTTTTGTCTATTGTTAAAAGAATGTTGATATAGCTTTATGTAATCAACAATTTATATCTTTATATTTTGCATGGAGATAATATAGATTTACTACCTATTTTATTGTACAGATTTTGTTAAAATATATTACTGTGTAAAATAAATTAGCTATTTGCTACTAGTTCCTTTCATAATAATAATTTTTAATACAAAATTAGGTGATATTTTTAATATTATTTACTGTATTCGTAAATTAAATAAATTTCTCTCTTAAGACCCTGTGCATAATGGAGGAAATACTAGCAACAGGAATAAACAATAAATATTAAAGAAATAAAAAATTAAATAGAAATTGAATATAAACATAACACACAATGGATACAAATAAAATGTACGACATATCATATGGCATATATGTATCCATTGTACGTTAAATATGTTTAATCTCTATTTAATATCCAACATTTATTCTTATTTCTAATATTTCTCCTATTGTGTGAAAGATTTAATTTTAATAAAAAAAAATTTTTAATTAAATTTATTTAAAAACATTTACAGAATCTTCTGTTGTCTTAAAATCTTCTCTCATTAATTTATTTCTTCTTCTATTAACGCAATCCAAGTATATTACGGGCCTAGAACAAAAATATAATTTTATATATATCTCAAAAAAGGCTCATAAATTTAATTATAATCAATCAGAATTAATCTACCGTTATAAAAACAGCAGAAGCTGTTTCTTTAACTCGATTTAAAGCTTCATCTGGCTTAATTGAACTGGAAAGCATTGTCTGCATTTGTAAAATATCCTTTAGTCGTCTCTCCAGGAACAACCATGTTTCTTTGTGGTCTTCACTTGTATCTTGCAACATGTACAATTCAGTAGCTTTATAAATAGTCGCTAGTATCATTCTCCTGGTATACCAGTTAATCTAATCAAAGTAATGTACTCTATTTAAACAGCACATCCGAACAATATCTTTCTTATACTAACAGATAAATATTAGTGATACGACTTACATCAACCGATCTATCGCCAGCATAGTAGCAGATATCATCGACTAAAGTTAATAAATTTGCTAAAGCAGTTGGTACGTTCGGTGGAAGGGACATAATAGCCAATGCTTGTGACCAAGTTTTTTTGTAGGGGATCACCATTCTCAACCGTGTTTCTACAGCGTCACAAACTTGTTGTTCTGGTGTCTTCTGCGAACTTAAGGAATTCGCTTCTTTTTCTAGGATTTCATTTAATTCCCGGTTACACATAGAGTAAAAGTATTCCACTAAAGCCGCACTACCTTTTGGAAACAATCCATGCATCACGCCCGGATATCCAATTGATTCAGCACCTTTAGCATCATATCTGATTATAACATTTTATTTAATTTGTACATAAATATAACGCGATATTTTAACAACACGATAATAGAAAAATTAATTATAAGATAGAATAGAATATAAAAAATGATTTAAATTACCAGCACTAATAGCCTGTTTGCTCCATCCCATGTCAGGAACAAATTTTAAAGAAGCGCCAAGTATTTTTAACTTAATATTTTTTTCATATTCCTCATCATTCTCCTCATGAATAGATTGTTGTAATTCCGCTTTTCTATTGTCATTTTCAAATTGATCGGCCAGCAAAGCCCTAGAAGTCCATAAACATCTAAAACCTAATAAATCAATATCTACTTTTAAAATTATCTAACAATAATAATAAGATATGCGTTAAATATATTACATAAGATATAAGAATTATTAGCAGAAATTAATTCTAATTTAATGTTTACTACAAATATGATATTAATACAATACACAATCTACTTAAAAAATTTTTTTATTAAATTTAAACAATTACAATTTTATGATCTAAAACTATTACAATTTTATGATAGTATGACGTTTTCATGATTGATTTTATTTCTATTCAGGTAATACATTCATCAGATTTTTCCACCAATTTTTCATTCATATCTATACATTCATTAACTCGTATAAGAATGCTTTCCATTACATCTAAACCATTTATCACTTGATAACAGACAGAAATTTTTTCGTGAAGTGGCATAACTGGTAATTGTTCGCCACCAACAGTCAATGTAACTTCCATATGAGCCTTCATTAACTTGCTATAATCTTGATTTTTAGCTAAATCCTTTTTCTGTTGCTCCAAATCTTTTTTCTTCACTCTCCAATGTGCTCTGCATAAGTCTATACCTTCTCTTAATGGATTCAAATAATTAGTTTTCAGTATATCTATCATATTCCAAATACCTGTCTCGTTGTTCTTATCTCTGATAAACAAAAATCTCAGCAAGTTCAGCGCAGTAATGATTTCGTCTGATATTTCCACCACATCAGACGAACTTCCATGAGATAGATTGCAAATCTTTTTCAATAACAATTCCATATTTTTTCCAAGAAATTGGGGATTTCGTGGAGTTGAATCGAGACATTCGATGATAGAAGATTTAAATATGCCAGTGATAAAGCTTAATAGGCCAGAATGTTCGATATTCTCATATAAATACAAGATAATAATATATCTAGCTTGCATGTTAAATATCTCAATATAGTTTTGAAAAATGCGTACTGCCTTCTTCCGTTGCTCATCACTATTAGAGTAAATCATCACTTTAGCGATTGATTGAAACAATTCTGTATATATTTCCAGGCTCAACACCTCAGAATCTAAGGAGCGAAGTGAAATGCGTTTTATAACACTTTCCATAAAAATTAATCCAGTGGAGATTGAATAATCTTCGCTAAGCAGTATTTTGAAAAAATATGCACATGTTTCAAGGATATAATAAGAATTATATATTTGTGGTACATTTATCCAATAATTTTCTTGAGTAATTATGTAAAAATAAAAATTAGCATAAGCCATATTAGATATGTTTTGACTCCAATCTAAGATTGTAGAACAAAAAGAAGATTCAATATTTGTTTTTAGATATTTGCGTAATGTTTTAACATGAGTAGATTCTCTTTGACGTTTGCTAACAATATCTAAAAAATATAATATATCTCCAGTGAGGTAAAGTGTTTGTGTTACTATGTTATCCGCGATTTCTTTATATGTTATTTCTTCACTGATGTATTTGTTCAAACAGCAAAAAGGTTTCCCACACAGGAAAATAAAAAAACTCAAGAGACGATTTCCAAGTAGAGATCCTTTTTCCTGTTTAGAATTGATATCTATTGCCTCTTGTACCAATGGTTCTAGAAACACTATGATTGCCTTATATGTATTTACAATTCTGTCATTAGCTGCTTCTGGATCATCGGCTTCATCTGGCAGTGGTAGATCCTCAAGGTACATCTTGATTGCATCAAAATACCAATCGATGGTTTTACTCTTATTTCGTACCAGCATTAAACAAGTCTGCATTGCACCCAAAATGGTACAGAAATTTACATGGTCACTCGCCCGCTTTAAATATCTTGGGAACTCTATGATGGCTATTGTAGGCTCGCAATTCTCAGTTAAAAACGTCAATACATTTAAACAGCAATCGAACATCGCTTTGTGATGTTGTAACACAGAGCTCGTAAGATTCGGAACGATGGCAGACATGATGCCGCATAAGCTATTTTCAGTCATCAAGTGATCCTCTTTCAAAACCTGTATAGCTTCTGTAGTTTTACACTTGTCCAAAAGGTCGATAACTCGGCTGATAAATACTTCTGTCATCTTGGTAAAGCTTCCGATGTCGAAAACATATAAAAATTATATGCAGATAACATTATTCTTCGAAAAAAGTATTTATATTATTTTTTATATATATTTATGTGTTTACCTTCTTGTGTCGATCTCAAGTAATTCCTGCTTTATTGTTCGTTACTTGTTCGAAAGATTTTTTTATCAAAAAAATATAAATATGCAGATATATGTATTCCTTATTTTCGCCTTTGAGGAGGAAATATCAAACACGAATCTCTCTCTTTCGAAAACGCGTCTTTAAGCGAAATTACGTCTTCGCGCAAGAACGTAGGTTAGGTTACACGAAATGTCACGCACCCTCCTACTCTCAACATGAAAAGGCACGGAATTGCGTAGAATGGAATCTAACGACAATCAGATCGAGAGCGAGCGGTCGATTGAAAAGTCACAAAGACAAAGATTCCTAGAAAAAAGGTTTCGTAGGAAGAAGGGTAGGACAAAATAGGACAAAGCGTGGGATGGAAGTTCAGCTCGCGAGCATCGCTAACAATTTGCTTACCGGTCGCTGCAAATTTGCTCCGTGCCAAGCGGAACGAATTAAACATTGCCATGTCACTAAATATCTCAAGCTCCTATCGCTAAAAAAATTCCGACAAATGCATGTTCTTGAGATGCGATTAGAATTTCGCTGGATTTTCGCGAGACTGTTTCTAGTTTCTACATCTGACGGTCTGACGCCGCGGCGTTTCTCATATTTGATGAGAGTCAAGAATGGATTATATTCGAAAGCACATTTTTTTTTCGGAGCAATCTGAAAATGATAATGTGAATTTCCACTTAATGCAGAATTTAAAATAATATTGATATTAATAAAGATAAAAAGGTGAACAAGATAAGTCTAACCTGACTTGCATATCAAAGAATTGAAAGGCATGGTAATGCATGGAGATCACATGGGATTCAGCCAATCAGAGAAAAGAAACGTTGCTTTTTTTATTCCAATTGAAGCATAATGTCGATTGGCTACGTTTGATCGTGATTTATCGTCGAGACCAATGAACACACATCGATTCACGTCGGAGGTCGGAGCCGTCTGCTGAGTTTTGTATACTCGTGAATGATGTCTTTTTTTAACCTTAAATGCGCTCTGCGCAATTTCAGTTTTGTGATCGAAGAGAATTCACTTGATTAAAGTTATCGCGTTAAATCAAACTAGAAGATTTCACTACAGGAATTTGCTTTCTTTGGAAATGGGCGATTCGGATGAGGAGAATTACGCGACATTTGGTGTTCCTCTTGACCCTTTGGATGAAGGTATACGAACAGAATAAATTATAGTACTCAAGAATATATTGTGTTATATCCTTTTTGTTGCGTTATATTAAAAAGTTTTGATCTCACAGAGAACATTCCGCGAAAGAAGCCCATCACGATCGAGGATCAATATGCATATGACACCCAAGGTAGACGTAGGTTTCACGGAGCCTTTACAGGTGGTTTCTCAGCAGGATACTTTAACACCGTCGGCACTCGCGATGGTTGGAGACCACAGCAATTCAAGTCTTCCAGGAGCAGCAAGGCAGACAATGTTGTTCAGCGACCAGAAGACTTTATGGATGAAGAGGATACTAGTCTCTTTGGGATAGCTCCTAAAGGTATTCGAGCCACCAGCGATTATGTCGATCATGGACAGAAAGGAAAAAAGAGAGAGAGGATAAGTCAGGAAGGACCTATTCCTGGTATTCCCATCTTAAAAGAGCTTTTAAGACCTGTCAAGTTAGTATTTGCAAAAATTAGTAATACCATTTAATTTCTGTTAGCTTTAAATGTTCTGTTAGTTTTGAAATTATTAACAATATGTTTTTGTTTGAGAAAAAAATAAAATGTGTTAATTATTTACTGATATATTCAATTTGTATTCCATTTAGATTTAAAGTGATATTAATTTCTGATAATTTTAAATATTTATAATTACAGAGAAACAGTGGGTATTGTCCTGCTCAAGAAAATGGGTTGGAAACCTGGTCAAGGTGTAGGTTCTAGATTGACAAAAAAAGAAAAACAAAAGATAAAGCTGCGTAATGAAAAATTAAAACTAGCACAGGACAATCTCGAAATGACAGAAAGCAATTCTGAGGATTCGGATGATGACCTCATTAATATTACTTTTGCACCTGACGATTACGAGCCATTCCGGTGTAAACCAAAAGATAATTATTTTGGCATTGGTTATTCGGGTCTAGATAGGCGAAAAGTCCTTTCCAGTCACATCAATCTATTTGACAGTCCAGCTTTTTGCATCCAAGATAAAAACAAGAAATTGTCAATTCATGGCCAGGCGTTTGGAGTTGGTGCTTTCGAAGCTGACGATGAGGATATATATGAAAAGGAAGACATGTCGAATTATGATTTTGCTTTGGGTCCCGAGCGTAAGGCAAAGACAAGATGGTCTCAGGATGGATCGAGTAGCTCGCAAACCGATTGTTTAGACAATTTTACTCACGCGAAAGAGAGACTAGAGAGTAAGAAAGTCTTCAAACCTCCAGAATTGCCGAAAAATTTTGCACCCGTACACGCTATTAGGAAAAGTAGATTTTATCCGCCGATTACAACCTCAGTAGAAAATAAACGCAGAGAACCATTGAACGCCACAGACAGAGCGCGAATCTTGGAAGACCCTGATGAATGTTCGGAAAAGTCACAGGCATCATCGAGTACATCCGTTGCCTCTAATATTATTTCAAAAACCTTGAATTTGCATGGTAAACAGCAAACAGAAGAGAGAAAAAAATTGGAGACACAACAGAAGACGACAACAAGCAACTCTTGGCTAGACAAATTAAATGCACAAAGCTTTGTCAAAGGTGGTATTGTTGGTTCCAGCAAAGACGATATGAGTAACTTAAAGAAATTAGAAGATTTTAAAGAATCTTTATCTGCACAATCAAGCACTGATAAATCAATGGAGAACGATTTCTCAAATAAGAATGAAACAAGAAAATTGTTCTTGTCTGATCCGGATAAACAGAGACGATTTGAACAATATCTTGTCTTCTTGAAGAACGGCGAAAAGGATAAGTTCGAAAGTATTCAACCACTTTCTATGACTAATTGGGAGAGAGAGCAAGAACGCGAAGAATTCGAGCAAGCTACAAAACTGGAGCAATCGAATAATTATATGGCGGATAAATTTGTACATAGTGCTAATGATACGACGGACAGAGTGGATCCGGAAAAGGACGTGGTAAAGGAAGCGGTAAGATTGAAAATGTTCGGCAAACTTACGCGACAACGGAGTGAATGGAAGCCGACGAATATCGTTTGCAAAAGATTTAATATTCCCGAACCGAAAGTCGGATACGCACCAATCGCAACGGATAGAAAATCAGCCAGATTCTCAGTCTTTGATTCTTTGGACTGGTGTAGTTCATCAAAATTCACGAAAGCCGTAGATACAGTTAAGACACAAGTGGAAGACATTCCCTTGCCATCAAGTAAAACGGAAGAAAATTTAAACGAAACAATTTCCATTGGCTCTAACGATATTCCGTCTAATATTTATCAACCTTTAGAACCTATTTCTGAAAAATTTAGAATTTTCGAAGCTTCCTATGAAAAAGTTTTTGGCAAAGGTATTCACAATATTTCTTCCGCAACAACCAAAGATGTCGAACAAAATACAGGAAATAATTTAATAGACGAAACAATTCAAGAAATGAAAGAAAAAGAAAAAACACCTGAGCCAGTATCTGTGCTTAAAGATCAATCGGAAGAAAAGAAGGATCTGTTCAAGGCGATCTTTCTCAGCAGCAGCGAGGATTCCGACAGTGAGACGGAGGATAATGTTGACAATGAGGCTGTCAAATCGATTTTGATTGGAAAAGATCCGAAGGAGATAAATATGCAACGTAATACATCGCCGCCACGAGGAATCTTTGCGAAACTAGATCTTGACAGCTTGATGACACAACCAAAACACGTTAATGACGAAAGTAAGACATGTAACATTTCAGAACCTAGTCCGCCAATTATTGGTGAATCGCAGAACGATCTTATAGATCATAACGATGTAACTAATGATAAAGAGATTGCGATACTACCAGATATGTATGGTCCGGTCCTGCCACAAAGATTATTGAAACAAGACAGTATTGCAACAACGACAGAAACTGATAATACTAATCAATTGTTCAAACCAGTATTTCGAAGTGTCGTCGTATCGAAAACTATGGAGGATTCGAAACTCGGTGGAAAATGGGTGGAACGAGATAAGATAAAAAAATCGAAAAAGAAACATAAACATAAAGATAAATATAAGAGCTCGAAGCATAAGAAAAAATCTAAGAAAGAGAAACGTTCGAAGCATTGATTTTTTTTATTTTATCATTTGATGATTCGAGTAACATAGAGAAATCGATTTATCATCAAGTAATGAAAATACCTTTTAAGTATGCATCATAACTATATTTGAGATGTTTTATGCCCAATTAAAACTGTTTCATATATTGTTTAATTATAATAATATTTATTATTTATGCACTTGTTTCGCGATGCATATATGTACAGCTGTAACATAAATTGAAAATATATATTTAGACTGTAGTTCTGATTATGTTAACAAATCTAACACTATTTGTAATATAAGGTACTTAAAATAATTCTGGGATACAGTCAGTAATACTTTATACATTATATTTTCCAATGATTGTACATTGTACAAAGGATATGTATATTTTACACACACACACTCATATTCACGAGCCATCTTTTATCTGTGAAAAATTTTCATAAGGTTGAG